TTTTAATATAAAAATCTATTTATTATATTAAAATAATATTAAAAGTACGAAACGCATTATGACGTCTATTCTTCGCATTGACAAGCTTAAACTTGTGATTACCTAGACGCATCGCAACGCATTACACATTTTAGAACACTGATAAAAACTCACACTTAGATGCCAATCATAAATAATGCAATTTTACACTCTCGATAGTAATCTTGCTTCATATTTTCTCTTGAACTCAATATCAATATACATCCTTGTGGCTTACATATTTTCTTCATCCCACACATAAAAATACACGTCTATAGTTGACTCACTTTATAGTCGAGTGATTGTGAGCACCTCTCCCACTATCGAGAAAGTCAATGTGTCAACAGTTTGTCCAAATGTAGAGGAATCTAACGGCCACATTGCTCAGATTTGGAGGTCAGCATTTTTGTTAAAAATTTTCTTTTCTTCTCATTACTCCCTTCCAACCACACTACAAGAACATTATTTTTTCGAGAAGTCAGCTACATTGTCACCGAACTTTCTTGTGGAACACTTTGAAGCACGTGGCGTAAGAATGGATGAATAAAATAAATGCTTCTATTGGTTGGTGAAGGATGTTATCTATTTATGTTCTGTTTGATGAAACTTAAAATTAAAATTTAATTTTAAATCAAAATCAACAATTAATTTTAACCATACATTTCATAGGATTCATAACTTTTTAACCACACATTTCAGTAACTTTTATTAAAAATTTAATATTAATCAATTCTACTTAACGTACAGAATTAGAATGCACAAAAAGAAAACAGATACTCATAGCAGGGTGGGTGGATTTTTATTTTTCATTATTTTACTTGGGACCAATGAGTAAGAATTAGTCTAAATGCACATAATGGGAGTACCGAATGGTGTCCCCCCTCTCACAATGCACGTGGGCCCCATGTGTATTTAAAAATTTTGGCTTGTGGTCCTAATGTGAGTTGGGTGTAAAAAATTTGGTATAAAAATTAGATACATGTAGCATAACAATCTGTTGGATTTCTGAGCTGATTTCTCAGCTACTTTAGGCAACTTTTTAGCTCCATTCTAAGTGTGACGTGTGTCGTAGAGGTAAAGGATGAGATGGCTTGCAGTTTTTCTTTCACAGCTCATTTGATCTCCATCTTTTTAAAAATATATTTTTTCCCTTCTTTTTAACTACACATTTTTCAATAAAATAATATTACACTCAACCTAAAAAATTTTACTTTATTTTTATCCACACATTCTCCGTCAATCTATTATTCTAATATACACTCTATCTAAAAAAATGGACTCAAACATGCCCTCATATAGCTCTTACCATCCCTCTAAGCCCTGTATGAGCCCTATTTTTTTAAGAATACATTTTTTTTAAAACTCATTTTCAATCACGCATTCACTCATAAAATAATTAGACACGTAATTTAAAAACTTTCATCACTTTTTAAATTTTAACCACACAACGAGTCCGTATTATGTAAAAATTAAAATCAAATTTTGTTTGGGGTGGGTGTTGTCTGTGGGGGGGAGGAGTGGGTAAGATGTGGAAGAATATGATTTTTTTTTTCTTTTCTCTCCTTTTTAATTGTTTTTAGCTTAATTTGATTTTTAAAAGGTTTAATATGTAATTGATATAAATGCCCTTATCAAATTTGGTGAAAATCAATTTTTTTGGTCAACTAATGGTCAATTGAATGGTTTCGATCCATTTGGACTATATATGCATATTTTTGAAAGGTTAGAGATTTTTACTGACAAAAATTGAAAGTTATTGTAAAATCTGCAAAAATTGAAAAGGTTAGGAATCGTTGTTACAATTTTTTATAATAGGAAATAAGGGAAAATTTCAAAATGAGTCCGTATCTTTACAAGGAAATCTCACTTAAAGCAACTAAATACATAAAAAAAAAAAAAAAAAAAAA